CAGGCGTTGAACGACTGTATATAAACCTTCCCAGCATTTGCCTTTTTAACCCTGATGATGTCAAGTGCACTTGACGAAAGCTTGGTAGATTAAACTCTATATGTTTTATAGATTTCTCTTGGTGGTCGCTTTGTTTTATAATGAATATTCCCAAGAGTCGTATTTTTGTTTTTATTGCTGAATATATATATATATATATCCACTATATATACTCTCTCTGTGTGTGTATATATATATATACATACATACATACACACACACACACACACACACACAAAACATATATATATATATATATATGTTTGTGTGTGTATGTATTTCAAACCTGCCCTTAGACATTCAAACGACATAGTCAAATATTTTCCATCACAGTTCATGCAAAGCTAATAAAATTGCCAAACAGTTGTTCCATTCATGGGTGGAGTGGATATTTGCTAACTCTTGACAATATGCCTGTTAACATTACGCTAGGAGACTTGTATAATGATCCAGTTTTGTGGAAGAGAATATTATTCTATTTTAGCCACGTGGAAATCTTGCCACTGACTACAGATAGTCCTCAACTTATGACCACAGTCAACTCCAGATTTTTTTTTTTGCTAAGCAGGATAGTTTTTAAGTGAGTTTCGCCCATTTCACGACCTTTCTTGCCATAGTTGGTAAGCCAATCACTACAGTTGTTATGTTGGTAACACAGTTGTTAAGTGAAACTGGCTTCCCTATTGACTTTGCTAGTCAGATGGTCGCAAAAGAGGATCACATGACCCCCCCAGGACACTGCAACTGTTGTGTCCTGGGCCTGCGGTAGCAGGCTCGGACGTTGTCATGGCAACGGGCTGCTGTAAGCTGCTCAGGGCCAGACAAACCGGCGCCAGCCTGCGCACATGCGCAAGGCACCAAGCGCATGGGAACAAGTAGTAGCAAGTTTACCCGGACTTTGTTAGTTGCTGTAAGAGCGAGGAGAGAGGCCTGCGCGCCTCGGTTTGTGTCTGAGGAGCTCGGAGAACGAATAAAGAAGGTTCCTGTTAACAGCATGTCTGCCTCTCAATCATTGTCACTCCAAGGACTTAACAGCAACCATCATAAATATGTGCCAGTTGTCAAGTGCCTGAATTTTGATCACGTGTCTATGGGGCGGCTGCAGTGGTCGTAAATGTGAAAAATGTTCATAAGTCACTTTTTAATGCTGTTGTAACTTCAAATGGTCACTAAATGAATGGCTGTAAGTGGAGGCCTACCTGTACTGGCTTGTCACTGAAATTCAATCTTCTAGATACAGATCATATGGCCCACAGAAGAGAAATGGTAAATGTAGTTGTAGGCTTTACTTGGAGATCGTCTGTTCTATCTCCTCTGGCCACTACTTCAGGAGCCCCACAGATGACCACCCGTGGTTTAAATTCCTCCATTTGGGAAAACCCACCACTTCCTAAAACAGACTCCTCCATTATCGTAGACATGTTGACATTAGAAAACTCTTCCTGGTGTCCAGTTGACACTTCCTTCAATTTAATTGGAACCCTCCTCTCCTCTCCTCTCCCCCTCCCCTTCCCTCTCCTCAGCCAAAGGAATTAACAGACTTGTCAAATTTTTTTACCTTTTCTTTTTTGTTCACTAAAATGGGCAGAAAGACACTGAGTTCTCCAGATGATCCATATTTTTTATTTTAAATCTATTCTACTTCAGAAAAAAAATCCATTATGGCATAAACTGTATTCCAGTATGATGTTGATGGGGCAACTCTTCCTAAGTTATCTGGTTTTGTTTATATTCTTTTAATTACAGTACCGCACAAAAGGAAAAGTAGTATGTTAAGAAACAAACCACTACTTTCAAAGAAACTGTATTTGTCTTTAGGCTTCACATATATCCAGGCCATTGTTAGCAGGTAAATTAATGGCTAGACTAGAGCATTTTGTTTCAAAGTGATCCTGGCCTGGCCAGAGGGGAAGAAGTAATCCTGAAAAGTAAATGTCTTCTTAGAAGGTAAGAAAAGAGGATGTGGCACAACTTGCCTGTTTGTTTTTAGTGGGAAAAAAAGTAATTAGTCGTGTTTGCCACAGCTGTACTCACCGCTCAGCATGACAAGCAGTTTAACATGCGCTTTTCATTCCGGATGTGTACATTCACCACCAAGGTTGAGAGCGTCCACTAATAAAAATAGCAATATAATAACAATAATATTCCATTATCAATTAAATAACTAGTTCTAATAATGCTTCAATAATTCTTCTTTATTTATTAAATTTATTTATGAAATTTGTTTGCCACCCATCTTGCCCCAAAGTAACTCTTAAATTGGCAATTGTTTTTTTTTTTTTAAGATAAGTATTTAACAAATTCATGAATATCAGAATAACAGAGTTGGAAGGGACCTTGGAGGTCTTATAGTCCAACTCCCTGCTCAAGCAGGAGATCCCATACCATTCCAGATAAGTGGCTGTCTTAAGAGCCTCCAGTGATGGAGCACCCACAACGTCTGAAGGAAAGCCATTCCACTGGTTAATTGTTTTTACTGTTAGGAAATTTGTCCTTAGTTTTAGATTGCTTTTCTCCTTGATTAGTTTCCATCCACTGTTTCTTGTCTTGCCTTCTAGTGCTTTGGAAAATAGGTTAATCCCCTCTTTTTGTGGTAGCCCCTCAAATATGGGAATACTATCATGTCATCCCTGGTCCTTCTTTTTACTAGACTAGACAAACCCAGTTCCTGCAACCATTCTTCATATGTTTTAGCCTCCATCCCCCTAATCATATTTGTTGCTCTTTTCTGCACTCTTTCCAAAGTCTCTGCATTTCTTTTATAATATGGTGACCAAAACTGGATGCAGTATTCTAAGTGTGGTCTTACTAAAATGTAATAAACCAGTACTAATACTTCACATGATCTTGACTCTATTCCTCTGTTAATGCAACCTAAGATTGTGTTGCCTTTTTTGGCTGCTGCCACACATTGCCGGCTCATATTTAAATGAGTCCACCAGGACTCCAAGATCCCTCTCATAATTACTGCTATTGAGCCAGCTTTATCCTATTCTGTACCTGTACATTTGATTTTTCTTTTGATTTCATTTTGTTAGATAGGCCCAGTGTTGAACTCTGTCAAGAGCCATCTGGATTTTGAGCCTATCATCTAGCTATTCCCGCCAGTTTAGTGTCTGCAAACATGATGAGTTCCCCTCCTTTTCCCTCATCTAAATCGTTTATGAAGATGTGGAAGAGTACTGGGCCTAAAATGGAACCTTGGGGTACCCCACTGCTTATTTCCTTCTATGTTGATGTAGTTCCATAGAGGACTACACATTGAGTGTGATTCATCAGCCAGTTACAAATCCATCTGGTGGTGATGCTGTCTATACCACATTATTTTAGCTTACCAAGAAGTAAGCTATGGTCTACTTTGTCAAGAGTGAGAGTGTAGATTTTATTTCTGGTGTAAGATATTGTATAGAAAAGCTACAGCAGAGATTTCAGTTGCCATAGGACTAGTATTATAGGGCAGTACTGGATTATTCTTACTAGTATGTGAGTCATAGTATTTTTCATCCTCAAGCTTCTGGGTGATCTTCAAGGGCTGCCCCATGTAAAGCTGTAAATATTTTAAATTACAGTATTCCATACATACGAAGTCAGGTTTGGGTGACTGTTTTTGGTACTTACTGTTCTGACACAAGTCTCAAATGGGTTGCAGAACAGTTTTCCATCAGAAGTTGTGGGTGCTTCATTACTGGAGGTTTTTTGGAAGAGACTGGACAGTCACTTGTCTGAAATGGGGGTTGGACTTGAGCAGGGGGTTGGACTAGAAGACCTCCAAGGTCCCTTCCAGCTCTATTCTGATTGATTGATTGATTGAAGCTAAGAGTCCAGTAGAACCCTTAGATTGTAACTCAAGTTCACTATGGGAAACAGAAGTTGAACTTGAGCCTGTGTTGGATTAGGTTCTGAATCAGGAGCTACTTCACCTTGCCAGGGTTAAATCTCAACTTCTTTCTCCCCATCCAGACCCTTGTCCAAGGTCACCCATCTTTCATGCCTCCAGAACCTGAGTCAAGACACAACTCTTAGTCTGCAATAGAGATACATAGTGAGTATTCTGCATACTGAGGATCCAAACCCCCAAACTGTTAAAAGATCTCTCCCAATAGCTTTGTATACTGTACTTGTTAAATAAAATTGGTAAGAGAGTCAATCCCTGTGGCACTGCATATTGGAAAGCTTGACATCTCCTCCCTCCTTACATTGGTAAAGTTGGCCACTACCAGAGTGAAACTACAGAATCATGCCCCATGTAGACAGGTCAGAAGCATATAATGGATGGCAATAAGACCACCAAAAGATCTAGCAGGACTACTCGCCTCCCACTCCTCCATAATCTCTGATATATATCACCAGTGAGAACAACCATTGTGGTTCCTGTCCCATGCTGTGGCCTGAACCTTGACTGAAAACAATCTAGGTTATCTATTTCTTCCAGAGCCTTCTGCAGCTTTCACCCTGCCTCCTTCTCAACAGCCGTCCCTAAAATGGGAATATTAGACACTGGGTCTTATCATTCAATACATCTAAGACCAGCTGGACCACTTTAGTCCTTTTCAAAGACATTTTTCCTCCCACAATGAGATACTGTATTCACAATCCAGCCTGCACCAGCCTGCAACCTCATGCCCACCCCAACAGCACAAGCCAGGTGAGGAAGGGATTTAGCCCACACAAGGCAGAGTTTATCTCCCCAAGGCCTCTGAACACTTGCTCAGGATTGTAGCCAAGCAAATTGCATGTTTTATCCAACATTTGATTGCATTACTGGTATCACAAAAAAAAAACAACCCTGAGTGTTCCCAGATTAAATGATCCCAAATAGCTGGGCTATTACATTAAATAATAGCAATTTGCACTGAAGTATTTAAAAACAATTATAAGGAAATATTTACTAGGACTAGACTGTATTTTACTCCAATTTCATCTTAAGTCATATATTATTCTAGTTCCATTTTAAACTGTATTTTATCAAATTTTATTTTAAATTGCTTTTATTAGACTTTGGTATTGATTTGTTATTGGAACTTTGCACTTTGATATGGCCCAAGGGCTAATCAATAAAGATTATTATTATTACTAGGACTATGCAATCTGGGTATCAGAAAACATTGCTGATGTTAGTTCTGTTTACAAATGACATCTTTGTATTTTAAATGTTTAACAATGTTGTGTTTAGAACAGAATAAAAATTCTATTGATTTAGTCATCTGACCATATCTAACATTGTCTTTAAAATGTGCATTTAAATGCTGGAAGCAGAAGGCTCAGTGAGTTTTTGTGACACAATCAGATTTCACATCTGTGTTGTTTTCTGATGCGTTGGTCAAATAAATTGCTCTCTGTTCCCTCTTAGATTGCATAATAGCTAGTGAGGTCCCTGCTGAGTTTACTTCAACTGGATTTTACAACAAAGGTGGTCCTGCATCATGAATCTTAGGATGGCTTATATTTCAGTCCAGTTGACAATGCGTGTTTCCTATTCTAATGTAAAATATAGAGCCAAATGATTGGTGCGAAGGTCTGCTTGGGCCTTTCTCTGGTCACTGTCAAAAACCTGGGATCTTTCTCTGGTCAGCATATAGTAGCTGACTGCATTGGCTACTCAATCTGAGAGGATGCTTCAGACAGGCCATGCATTTTGGCCAACTCTCTCCTTTAACAGAAGCAAATGGTCCACCAATACTTCCCTTCTTCTCAGATTTGGCCTCTTCAGCTGGTTATTTCACTCAGCCTAATAGTAGGACTGGCCAACAAAGTTAATAAACTAAAGAGGATGTTTTTATTCACCCCTGAAATACAACAGGAAGACAAAAGGAAGAGGTTATTATGTTAGGTCTATCATGGGTCTAAGCCAGTGATGGATGTATGATACTGCCCTTGTATCCCTATTCCACGGTCAGCAATATGGCGGGAATATTAGAATAGCTCAGAGACATCTGGAAGGTCACGTATTCTTCACTCTTTTCCTGAACATTTTATAGCAGGGGTAGTCAACCTTGGCTCTTTTATGACTCGTGGACTTCAACTCCCAGAATTCCTGAGCCAGCTGGGAGTTGAAGTCCACGAGTCATAAAAGAGCCAAGGTTGACTACTCCTGTTTTATAGGATAAATCAACTCAAGAGCTTGGGAGTTCAACTGGGAAAGTACATTTCTTTACTAATTCAGGGTGTACAAGTAGTTCTCGACTTACATCAATTTATTTAATGACCATTTTAAGTTACAGCAGCACTGAAAAAAAGTAACTTATGGCTGTTTTTCACACCGTTACAGCATCTCCATAGTCACGTGATCAACATTTGGATGCTTGGCAACTGGCATGTATTTATGATGGTTGCAGTGTCCTGGGGTCATGTGATCATTTTTTGTGATGAGCAAAGTCAATGGGGAAGCCATATTTTTTTTAACAATCATGTTAGTAAGTTAACAACTGCAGTGATTCACATAACAACTGGGGGCAGAAAGGTCATAAAACAGGGCAAAACTCACTTAATAAATGTCTCAACAGAAATGGGATCAATTGTGGTTGTAAGTCAAGAGCTACCTGTTTTCTTTTTTACCACACTTTGAAGCAGTCTGTCCTTGTCCTGTTGTGTTTCACATTTCATCGTGTTTTACTTATTTAGTCTACTGACTGGAGTCTAAGTCTTTGCCATGTGTAGATTTTTTTTGTATTCATTTGTAGTCTTTTGGTACAGATTATCCCCAAACTTGGATAATGTCTACCTCCTTAGTGGTGACACATCATCTGAGAGAGAACCCAGAGACGGGAGAACGTTTCCTCTTTTGTGGCTCTAGCTTGTCTGAGATTATTGAAGAAACAGAATACATTAAAAAGGTACGGATTTTTGTATGAACACATAACAAAGTAGATCCACTGGTCTATGCAGTTCACCAAAATGACTGGAAATGATTGACCAAGATCTCAAAGGAAAGTTAGCTCAGTTATTAAGATCCTTTTAATTGTCAGTGTGTGTGTGTGTGTGTGTGTGTGTGTGTGTGTGTGTGTACCCCCCACACACATACACATATTGACTTGCATACTGTGTCTAGATCAAGAATATTAGAAGTCTGGAAATCAAGTCCTACCAGGAAGAAGTATGTTGGGTATGTGTAGCCTTGAGAATTAAAAACTGAGTGGTGGAAAATATAATCTTCTCCTTCACTGTCTTAGAATGCAGGATACAAAATAATTATTTGAAATTACAGGAAGGCAGATCCTGGTTGTTGAATATTAGAAAAAAAACAGTGGACAATTTGACAGTGGGACTGTTTTCTAGAAGAGGTCATTGCTGAATGTCTTCAAACAGTGATTTGTCATGGAGTTTAAATTCCTGCTGTGAGCAAAAGATTGAGACCTCCTTGTTCTGTTTGCTTAATTTTAAGTTTTTAAAACATTTAAAGAATAAAATGAATGGCCACAGAAAGGGAAAAAGAAGTGGGAAGAGGGCATAGTGTATGGAAAATAACTTATCAGTAAATAGAGACTTTACCATTGTCATAACATTTAAAATACATTATTTCATTTTTTCAGTGATTACTGAATAATTGAATACAGGTAGTCCTCAACTTAGGACCGATCGCTTAGAGACCGTTTGAACTTATGATGGACCTCCCTGGAGATACTGATGACCCGGTTCTGAAGTTCTGACAGCCAGCCTCCCCCTGCAACCATGTGACCACATTGCAGGCGTTCGGCAGGCCTTTTGCAGCATCCCATGGTCATATGATCACATTTTATGATGGTTTTGCCTAAAATTAGCATTTATTTTCAATGTTCTGCAAAAAAAAGCCCACAGCACTTAATGGCCATGGTGTTCGTTTAACAACTGACTCAAAAAAAGTATTGAAATTGGGTCAGTCATAGGATGACTCAGTTTATAACTGTCACAACTTACAAACCTGTTGGTCAGATTTCACTACGGTCATAAGTCAAGGACTACCTGGAATAGAAAAATATTATAAGAGCTGTGGGTGAATGCAGCACTGCAGGCTACTTCTGCTGACTGCTGGCTGCAGTAGTTCAGCAGTTCGATCCTGACCGGCTCAAGATTGACTCAGCCTTCCATCCTTCCGAGGTCGGTAAAATGAGGACCCAGATTGATGGGGGCAACAGGCTGACCCTGTACACCACTTAGAGAGGGCTGTAAAGCACTGTGAAGCGGTATATAAATCTAAGTGCTATTGCTATCATACTGAGAAATGACTAAGTTACTACAAAACTACACAATTACTACAAAACATTAATATTTATATTGATGTCACCACTGTTTACCATTATTTAAAATAAATGCACATGAGCTTACAAAAATAAAATAAAAATAAATATGAAAAATAACTAAAAAATCTTAAGCCCTATATTCCTGACTGGTATTAACGTTATTTATAAACATTAAAACAGCTTCTTGGTAGAACTGTGGGAAAGAAATAGGAAACTCACTCTAGCTACCTCGTACAAGGAAAATCTCTACAAGATGTTTTATAGATGGCACTTCCCACCCGTAAGGTTAGCCAAAATGGGTTCAAATATCTCACCTTTATGCTGGAAATGTAAAACAGCAATAGGATCATATTACCATATGTGGTGGGAATGCCCAAAGGCTTGTGAGTATTGGAATAAATAACTACAGAGAAATACAATAAGGGAACAATCTATTTGCTGTTACACATCTTGACTGCAGCTAGGCTTGCGTTTGTGCAAAAATGGAAGAGCAAAGAAATTCCCACAGAGGAAGAGACACTCTATAAAATATTAGCATGTGCGGAAATGGACAGGCTCACAATGGTATTGAAAGACAAATGTGGATCAGTTTATTTCGACAAACCTGGGATAAATTTTACCGCTGGAGGGATTCGAGGAGGACGGTTGGGATTATAGGCTAGCGTTAAGATAGAAATATATGTAATTTTAGAATAAGTATTGTATATAAAATTTAGATGTATAATCAGAGATGAAGAATCGATTGTAAAATGTGGAATAACTTGATAAGAATGTATATACTGGAATGTCACATTATATCCAATGTTTTTTAATTGTATTATAAATAAAATTTTGTAAAAAACAAAACAAAAACAGCTTCTTGGTGCTACCTTTACATCAGACATTTTCCTCTTAAAAACCATAAGCATCTCAGCTTGCTTTTTTCCTGCAGATTCGTTCCACGCTAGCAAAAGTTCAGCCTCTGTTGTATAAAAAGGAATCCAACCATAGCATTGCAAATGGCACGCTGGATTCAAAGGTATGAAAGATTTTCTTTATTTTACAGACCAATAAGGTAGATCTGTTCTGCACAACAGCATGGATGACCTTCAGACTTGTGCTAGCCACTCAGTAGCCAAGTTATATTCATCAGACCAATCCACTCTCAACCGGCACTCAGTGCCCTGCAAGAGTTACCAAATCTATACTATCCTTTAGATTTGTCCTGTTTTTCTTTCCTTTGAAATGACCAAGGATAGATAGATACAAATGAGGGTGAAGGTTCGTTGTGTAAGCTTGTGGGTTGATTTCCGAACGTTTCATTACCAAGCTAAGTAACGTCTTCAGCGGAGTTTAGGGGTTTAAACTCTGCTGAAGCTGTTACCTAGCCTGGTAATGAAATGTTTGATCCACAAGCTCAGAGAATGAAGCTTCATCCTATCCTCATCCTACACCTGAGCTACAGATATTCGCCACTATTGCATAGGTACAAATGCTGCAAAAGCATTGGCTACCGTCAACCTTTTCCCACAAGAACCCCCAATTCAGTTCCTCTTGGAAAGAGAAGCAGCTGACCTGACATGTGGCCTTCCTATACAAAGATACCATCCTGGAAGCAGGCACCCTTTTGGGAGCATTTCCAATTTTTGAATTACAAGAATTTTGGCTGCTCCCAAAATGGTGTCTACTCTAGGATGGCTTTTCTATAGGAAGGCTGCAAGGTGCATCTGTATTTCTCCTTGGGAAAGTTGATCTTCGGAAGAGTGAGGCCTGATGGGACAGGAAGCAGGCCCAACACCCTTTGGGAAATAGAACCAAGAGCCCCAGAGGGACAAGATGGGGGTGGGGGGAAACATAGACAAGTGGGGCAGCTGAAGCATCTGTATGGTTGGATATAAAGGTGAGCAGATTGCCAAGCACCTAAATTTTGTTCAGGTTACTGTAGGAGTACAGCAGCAACCACAACTTTGGGTATAGATGTACGTTCCTTTGTTCAGCACCATCATAATTTTGAATAGTTGCTGAATGAATGGTCATAAAGTCTATCAGTAATGGTTTGTGTGCTTGATGCCATTCCAAGGATCTAGAAAACTACTTGCCATATGGTAGAACGGACAGAATCTCCACACATCAGTTTCAAAATTCACATACTTGTAATGGCAGAATATTTCAATAGTGTTCTAGATAATTAGGAAGGATCGTCCCAAAGATGCTTTTTCCAAAGTTCTGAAGAAGATTCTTGGATGAGAAGCAAAATGTTTTCGAAGCAAAAAAACCCCAAGAAAGTCCAGTTGACAACCATGACCTGGATGATTGAGAATCTCCATAGACACTTGGAAATGATCCAGTGGTCAAAAGTACCAAATCTAGTCAGAATATATCTGGTAGAATATATGTAAATAAGAACTGGTAGAATATATGTAAATAAGAACAACAACAATACTTTCAGCATTAACTCCTGGATGTTGTCTGGACTAGTTCCTGTAGTTTTCTTTGCAAGTTTTGCAAAAATGTTCTGTTTCCTTCTTCCTAGAGCTGAAACAGAAGGACTGGTCCAAGGTCCACTTACCTGGTTTCATGTCTAAGGCAGAACTAGAATGTAGGATCACTGGTTTTCTAGCCCAGTGTGTTATCCATTGCATCAAACTGACTCTTGATAATGCATTACTGTGGCTACTTGCCCTTCTGCATGGAGAAGTGAGTGAGATTTACTGAGTAATGCCCATTTCTTGATTCTCTCCAATTTTACCAAACTCAACCTGCCACTGTACATTTTAAGAAAAAGCTGCTAAGGGGACTATGGTACTCCATAAGTCATGTGCTGCACATTTTGTCACACTAAAAAAATAGCAGTGTTCACAATTTGTCCTATGACCCTGGTGCTCATTAAGCAAAAGTTACAGGCTCTTACGAGTTCAGTGTTCATAAAGCATGTGAAGGCATTTTTGGCTTTTTACATGCCTAATGCCCCTGGTCTGCAAACCTTGGCAGAATGAGTTTGCAGCCTGATGCATTCTTCCAAGTGCTAATTAATCTTGTAGGCAGAGAAGATTGTCCTAAGGGAATTGGGGCTGTTATTTATCAGGTCTGTTCTGCTAATGCTTTCAAAAGTAAAACCCAGGGGAGCTGAGCAAATAGAACATGATATTTTACTGCATGGGTTGAGAGGTGAAAAAAATATTTTTTTTGCTAGAAGTTTAAATTCCCCTGGGTTTAGTTCATGGATGAAAGTACAGGTGGAATATTTGGCCTTAAAATTCATGCTATTTATTCTCCAGTGACATCTGACTATCACTCAGGTCTAGTCTAAAGATGTCACAGAACATGCAGTTGCATTGGGCATAAGCAAAATGGAGGCCCTAAAAGCAGAGCAACTGGCAGAAGTGAGTAATGGGTAGAATCTAAGGAAATGATGGCAAAAAGGCAGCTACTTTCATCATTTCATCATTGAGAAAGACGTATTAGCCAATGGGTTGAAAGTGGTGGCAGGATTATGGGCAGAACAGTCTACCCACTGAGTAAGTCAGCTTCCTGTTAGTCAGGGGCAATATCAGGCTACTGCAGAGAAAATGTCTAGACCAAATGGATCACCATTTTTTATTACCAACATTTTGAAGATGAATTGTTACAACCATTGCAATATATGATGAACTCTGTTTGGCAAGACACCTGACATTGGGTAGAGGCCAATGCATAATATTTTAATTCTGGATTTGACCTCACCGACAAATTATCACCTGATATCATTACTGAATAATGGTTATAAGCTATTTACAATGATTTCAGCTGAGAAAATGAAGATAGTTTTACAGGAATTTGTTTATGAAGATCACTGTGTATTTTTAACCTAAAGGGCAGTTGCTAGATAATATTAGAAGTATATTGGAATACTTGGAGTAATAGTGAAAGTTAAGCAGCACTGAATTTTCATGATGCAGAAAAAGCCTTTAATAATTTGAATGAGACTTTCTTGTTTAAAATTTTGGAAGATATGAAATTTATTTTTATCTTATATCCTATATTCCTGTAAATAATTCAAAGCAGGGAACATATCTAATACTCTTTCTTCTTCCTATTTTACCTATAACAACAGTCTTGTGAATTGTGACTTTGGTGAGAATTTTATCAAATGGGTCACTTATAATTTACTTATCAAAAGTATATAGCAATGATTTACGCTTCAGAAAAGGCAAAGATAATTGTGAATGGGGAATCAACAAAATCTTAAGCAATAAAGAAGGGGAGTAGACTAGGATGCTCCTTGTCACCATTGTTATTTGTTTTAGCTTTGGAAGTTTTGAATGGAGATATAAGGCAAGAAAGGAACAGAAATACTAATGGAAAAACTAAAGGATTTGGGGATTAACTGGCTTTAAAATTAGCAAACAAAAGACCAAGAAAATGATAACAAAAGAAAGATCAAACTACTGTGGTTATTCTTCTAAGAGTTTTACCACATGATGAATAGTATTGTTCTGTTTTCAGATTATTTTAGGGGGGCAAAGACTTATTTTCTCTAATGCAGGGTGTTTCATTTTCCACTATCTCAGTGTGCAGGAATCCAGATGTAATATTAAATCTAAAGCTTCATGTGGGATGGAATTTCAAACTAGTGTTCCACTAGACCAGGGATAGGCAACCTTGGCTCTTTTATGACTCTTGGACTTCAACTCCCATAATTCCTGAGGCAGCATGGTTCACCTTGGAAACCTCTCCCTTTCCCCTCAGCATGGCTGGCTCAGGAATTCTGGGAGTTGAAGTCCACGAGTCATAAAAAAGCCAAGGTTGCCTACCTCTGCACTAGACCTCTAAATTTCTTGAACTACAGTAAGTCATCTGCACATATGAACCTAGGAAGTTGTTATATACAACTTGGGAGTGGTAAAGAGGCCTTGTGGATTTTTATTCCCGTCTCGAAACTAAGAAAGGTCAGATAGGTCTGTGATCGACTTTTTAGTACGTAGGGAAAGTAGGTATCTGTAAGTCTTATTCGGTGTCACTGTAGAGATATGTTTAATACATTAAACGTAACAAACGTACCACCGTTGTACTGTGTGTCCATCAGGAATTAAATGTTCTCAAGTAACTCACTGGGAAACTAGTTACAATGGCACTGAAAAAAAGTGACCTTTGACCATTTTTCACACAACCATTGCAGCATCCGAATAATCAAAATTCAGACACTTGGCAACTGACTCATACTTATGACAGTTGCAATGTCCTGGGATCATCTGATCATCTTTTGCAACTAGCAAGCAAAGTCAATGGGGAAGCCAGGTTCAGTTAACAACTGGGTTACTAATTTAACAACTGCAGTGATTCACTTAACAACTGTGGCAAGAAAGGTTGCAAAATGGGGCAAAGCTCACTTAACAGCTGTCTCACTTAGCCACCAAAATTTTGGGCATAATTATGATTGTAAATTGAGAACTACCTGCATATGATATCCTTCCCAACTCCCAACCGACACCTATGCATTCATCATTTGCTGTAGTCACTCTTCCCCAATCTCTCAATGATTAATCAGCATAAACATACTCTTTAAGGGGAAGCATAATAAATCTGACACATGGTAGTTTATTTATTAGATTTATACCGCAGTTTTATTGTACAGTTTGTTCAAGGTCGCATGCATAATGCTTCTGCCTCCTATTTTGCTATTGAATAGTATTCAGGACAACTTAGGTAGGAAAAAAGGAATGTTTTACTACTATAAAGAAGTAATATGAAAGGGTCTTAATCATGGATGATAGAGCTGTCAACACATAATCAAAGGGAAACTTTGGAATTGCTGGAGTATTCTAGTGTCAAATTATATTTCAAAATTAGGGTTGCTTACAAAAATATTCCTGTTTGCTTTTACACCCTGGGAAATCAAAAGAGGGAAATAAAGGCTCTGAAAGACCTCATGTTGTTTTCAGTGTGTCATGGGTATATTATGGATTAACCATTCTTCCATTAATAAAAAAAATATAGCATGCGTGGAATTTTGCTACATTTTTACAGCAAGTTTTGTTAACCATGCACACAAGAGAATATACTCATTAAATTCCGGCATTATGTAGTTCTATTAAGATTTCAAAGAGTTTGAATGAATAACAAACTGTATCTGTCACTTGCAGCAAATTGTAGAAATCAATTTAGTTAAAGGCAGGCAGAGTCAAAAAAAAGTGGGGGGACAAAGAGAAAAATGGCAGAAGCAGGAAGAGCTGATTCACCTTTCTTTCTTTTCTTCATTTTAGCTGCATTTTACAGAATCTGGACTGGTCCCTGATGAAGCGACACTCTCTTCCAACAACGAGGAGACCTTAAATAGAGTAAAAGAAGTAGAAGAAGAATTATTATGGGTGAACAAAGAAAACGAAAGGCTAAAGGTCAAGGTGTGCTTTAATTTTTGGAATTTCAAAAAAGTACTGTTGTGTCTTTAATACAGGAGATAAATTTGTATTTAAGATTAGTTTTGAAAGTTATTCAATTCTTTATTGGTTTTGAAACTAATTCAAAACATACAAATGGTTGAAGTGATAAAACTATTATTATTATTTTATTTATTAAATAGCCACCCATCTTGTATACATGTGTGTGTGTGTGTGTGTGTGTGAGTGTGTGTGTGTGATCCTGGGTGGCTTACAAAAAAACAAAAACAATATAAAGCAACCAAAGAGTAGAACAAATGAAAATAATTTTTAAAAAGGCATACAGAAAAATCATTATAAAAATGTTACAAAATTCACAGTCAAATTCCGTAACTGAAGGAGCAGGGGAAAATATTACAAGACTGAAAGTTCCTCCCTCTAAGAAATATTCTTTGTATTTTAAAGAAGAGCCACTGACGCTTTTCCTTCAACAAGCTTACCAAAAAATGGGTCAATTAATCCAGCTTATTAAACACCAAAAGATTACATTTGATTCCAAACAGAGCATATCATGCCCAGAGTGAACTAATCCTCCCTTGTCAGTTAATGTTCTAAATAAACATACATTTGAACAACTGACCTGTTTGTAATTTGGTCCTCCAGGAAAATAGCTGGAGAGAAAGAATGGATGTAATGGAATGTATGGATGACCTTGGGCAACGAGAGGAAGAGATTCTGCCTAAGAGACAATCAGACAAGAGAGGCAGGAACCCGCAGTGGCTTAACAGTCAGAGAAAGAAACTAAGGAAGGACACACCCTAATGGGGGTCTAGGACAACTCACCATGGCCAGCTCACCATGGCCAATTCACCATGGCCAACTTATCATGGTGTCAAAATTAAGGAATCTTCAAGGCTTTGAAGTGCCATAAAAAACCACTTTTTTGAATACACATCTCAGAACTGAAGAAGCAAAACCAGCTCTGGTTCTCCCATGTGAAAATCTGCCTAGTTAACAATAGCTTCCCATAACCCCCACCCGCCAAGTGTTCACATTGCCCAATCTTATTTCTTTGGTTTGTTATGAGAATGGTCCACTTCGCCGTCAGACACCTGCATAAGTGACCTTGGCTCTCATGGTCCGTGGACGGCTTCTTAGACTCCTGTTTTCTTCTCATGCTTCCTACCTCTCCCCCCTATTTCTATGGCAAGTTGAGTAGTGATAGAAGTTAGCAGGCATCTTAGCAATTCAACCTTGACATGGTCAACTCGCCATGGGACAACTCACCGCAGGACAATTTAACACTGCATTAATCGTTTCATCAGTTACTGTTATTATTGGTGGCCATGTTTTGGTTGAAATTATTGTAACCCTTGTATTTCTGGATTGACTTTCTTTATTATAATTGGCCACGGTTCTATTGAAATTAATTTAACTTTTGTATTTGTTGAATTGTCGTCTTGCAATTTGTCCTGTGGCAAGTTGGCTGTGGCGAGTTGTCCCATTCTGCCCTAATGCAGGTGGCAGTTAAAAGTGAAGAGTGGGAAGTTTGTACTTACACATTTATAGAATTCTGTTAATGTAGCCTTACAATAAAGCAGAATTAGTCCATCTAGTTGAGTTTCCGGTCTGGTTTATCTGGGAGGGCTGACATCAACCTCTGACTTCCTTCTCCCCTTTGACTTACCTTGCAGGAAAGTGGCAGGGAGTGTTGGAAATAATGATTCTACGATTGCAGCTAACTGCACAGTGTGGCAACCACAATTTTGCCAAATTACAATTCATGG